CCTCCGGCATGCCACAGTCCAGGTGTTAGTCCCTTGAAACAACTTTTCCATCCCTATTGTGGCCAGAAAGAGTCCCTGTGTGTTTTAAAATTCGCCCCCCCATTGAAGTCAATGGCGTTTCGGGCGGTTCGCCGGTTCGCGAACATTTGCGGAAGTTCGCGTTCGCCGTTCGCGAACCGAAAATTTCGGGTTCGCGACATCACTACTGTGTCACTATACCCCACTCCCTCTAGCATGTAAACTCACTGAGCATGCCCTCAATCCCTCTGTTACTGTGTGACTATACCCCACTCCCTCTAGCATGTAAACTCACTGAGCAGGGCCTCAATCCCTCTGTTACTGTGTCACTATACCCCCCTCCCTCTAACATGTAAACTCACTGAGCAGGTCCTCAATCCCTCTGTTACTGTGTCACTATACCCCACTCCCTCTAACATGTAACCTCACTGAGCAGGCCCTCAATCCCTCTGTTACTGTGTCACTATACGCCACTCCCTCTAACATGTAACCTCACTGAGCAGGGCCCTCAATCCCTCTGTTCCTGTGGGTCCAGCTCATCTGGTTACAAATACATACATGTTAGTTCATCCATTGTACAGCGCTGCGGAATTTGTTGGCGCTTTATAAATGATAATAATATTATGATCATGTTTACGTGTATGTTGCTTTAAATTTGGCAAGCATTTGGCACTCTTTCTGACTTATATTTCTTATCATTGCGATATCTGTGATGTTTTTGCGGTCTGAGTTTTTTTTTGCTCTCTACACATATATTCACACTACTTGATTATCTATATTTATAAACGGACACAAAGCTCCACGTTTTGCGACACACCAACACTTGTGGGTGAGCACCACCTTGGTGTTAAAATTTAAGATCGTATTAATGCCCTTGTTGGTATCGCTGTTATTGTGTCACATGTTTCACACTTATGGTGTTAATATTTTTTTATTTTGTTGCTATGCCTATAGAGTGTACTATTTTTTATGTGATGGACACACACAGCAGCATGTTTTACACATTGATGAACAGTACTGCATCACTTCGTGATGGACTTCATTGGTAGGATTGGATAAGTAGGGTGGTGGTTTTGATTGTTTTCTCTATATAGTCACTCTTCTTCATTTTGCATCTCATATTTCTGGATAAACTTTTAAAATAATTTAATAGTTGAAAAAAATATTTTAAAAGTGGATTCAAAAATATTCAGCCATTTGGAAGCTTATCCAAAAATATTAAATAGAGGCCAATGTTAGTAAGACTTTCCTAATGCTTTATCTATGGAAATCACCATTACATTCTATAGGAATTTTGTAGATAAATCATTTGGAAAGCTTTTATAATACCTATTGAATAATTTGTTAAGACTATTAAATTGAGGCCTATGTAGGATGAAAGGGACAAAACAGGCACCCAGACCACTTCAGCTCATTGAACTGGTCTGGATGCAGTGTCCCAGGTCTCTTAGCCATGCAATGGTAATTATTGCAATTTCTGAGAAACTGCAATAATTACCTGCCAGGGTTACCTCCACCCCTAGTGGCTGTCTACCAGACAGCCACTAGAGGGACTTACGGGGTGGTTCGGCGACTTTTGGTTGCCTAACAGACGCTGGACATCCTCACGCTATGCATGAGGACATCCAGCGTCACCCAAATCTGATAGAAAAACATTATACAATGCTTTCCTATGTCGGAAGCCTATTGCGTGTACAGAACTCGCCGCACATGAGCTTTAGGCCCCCCATGCTGGCTAACATCAGCAGGGGAGAAGCTAAAGCGGAGCCTGAACCATCACGAGGGAAGGGGGTGCGAGGGAGGGAAGCACTTTGGGAAGCTATAGTGCCAGGAAAACAATTATGTTTTCCTACACTATAGTTTCCCTTTAATGTTAAATTATATTAGTTTTACTATTCTACATTATAAAATAACAATCAAAATGTACTTGATGATAGGAGCTTCTCATGTATTCCCCTTTCATTATATTCCCAACATACCTGTACTGTACCCTTATCCCAAAGTAGTCACATATTTTTTCATTACATTTTTAATTAGAAATCATTAGAATTTTCTTGAGAAGTTAAACTTAAGCTCCCTTTTCTAACACTCCAATTAAAGGTATTTAAGTAAAGTGAACTTTTTTTTTTTTTACTGTCCAAAGAATATCCTTTGGTGATGCAATATCAATTTTTGTAAAATTTTAAAGATAGCCAGACTACTTAAGGGGTTTCTTCAAACCTTTCTAGTGTCAAATAGAATAACGCCCTATTGACATTATTCTATTGGATCCCTCCAAAATAACCAATCAAGGATCGATTTAAATGTAGTTTTACTTACCTTTTTCCAGTGCAAATCTCCCTAGTGCTGCAGGTTTCTCATAGAGCCCCTACATGGCCAATACAGCTCCTATACTCCGACTAAAGCCCCTACCCCACCAGTACAGCCCCTATTCTAAAATTACAGCCCCTACCCCACCAATTCAGCAACTCAACCTCAATATAAAGCCCATACCCCACCACTACAGCCCATATTCTGAAAATTATAGCCCCTACCCCAGCACTACAGCCCCTATTACCAAATTACAGCCCAAACCACACCAATTCAGCACTCAACCCAAATATAAAGCCCCTTTCCCACCACTACAGTCCCTATTCCTCATCACTGCAGCCCATATTGCCACATTACAGCAAATACCCCACCACTACAGACCCAGTTCACTTTTTACAGTCAGAACCCCACAATTACAGCACTCAGCCGCCCACTTCGGCTTTTATTCCCTGACTACTGAAATTGTTTCTCCACTAGAGCCCCTAACTCCTAACTACAGCTCATGTGTCCCTACTACAGCCTCTATCCCCATAATACAGCTCCTATAACCACTAACCCCATTACAGCCCCTACTTAATCATTCAACCCCCACACTACATTCTCTTTCCCCACACTACAGCCTCTATCCTCTACATTACAAACCCTAGCCACCCATTCCCCATAGTACAGATTTTATCCCCCAATTACAACCCCTATGCAACCCCACTACAGCCCCTAAGCCTCCACTACAGCTCCAGTCCCCCACTAAAGCCCCTAACTCCCACATTACAATCCTTTCAATAACACAAGGAAGTGCTTGTGGGTGGTGCATGTATGTGGGCAGGGCTTACATGGGTGCATTGGAGGGCACAAGGGGGGCCCATGATCTTCTCTTGCCCCGCAGCCCTATGATTTGTCAGTCCTGACCATGGTTTGCAACACTCTGATATATCTCCCCAGAAGTGTCCATGGCATTTTTATTTTTAAATGTAGGCAAGTAGAAGAAGGGTATCAAACTAATTTATCGTGGAGGGATTATTTTTTCACTAAAATAGGGATGGTGCACATAATTTATAACATTTCTATATACATAGACAGAAATACACAAGTGGACACAAACAAAGGACTTCACATAATGTCATAAAAGTCGTTTATTACTCTCCCTCTACAACAATGTAATCCGTTGAGGACAAAGGTGAGGTTTTCAACATTAATGGAAAGAGGAACATATGATACAAACGTGACATGTCAGAACAGAGCTCCGTACCTAGTTAGAAATAAACATAAACAAATTAACATTAGAAATGTATATTTGCATCAAAGATAATTTAAAGGGACACTATAGTCACCAGAACAACTACAGCTTATTTAATTTGTTCTGGTGAGTAGAATCACCACCTTCAGGCTTTTTGCTGTAAACACTGTCTCCTCGGATAACTGCTAGAGATCCTTCCTGGGTCATAGCTGCCTAAAATGCATCCAGACATTCAGTATCTCCTCCCTCTGCATGCAGACACTGAACTTGATTTAATTCAACTCTATGAGGAGATGCTGATTGGCCAGGGCTGTGTTTGAATTGTGCTAGTTCTGCCCCTGATCTGCCTCCTTGTTAGTCTCAGCCAATCCTATGGGGAAGCATTGTGATTGGATTAGGCTAGCACTTTTGCTGATGTCAGCAGGCAGTGGGCGGGTCCAAGGAAACAGTGACAAATTATGCAGCTGCAGACTTGAGTAAAAGAAAGATTTTACTAATTTAGGGAGGCATGAGGGGACCAGGGTGGCTAGATGGTGGTTGTAACCCTATAGGGTCAGGAATACATGTTTGTGTTTCTGACCATATAGTGCTCCTTTAATACAATTAGAGATGTATGATCAGGATCATTTTCTGATTGGTAGCTCAGACCACTTTGAAAAGGTAATTTTACTAACCTTTTCTTCCATGCCACGCTGATCTTGCTGCGTCTGGCTCCGCCTTCAAGGCTGAGGTCCTCAATTTTGATGATCTCACCCATAGGTGTGCGCACGGGGTGTGCCAGGTGTGCCTGGGCACACCCTAATCCCCGCGATACACCTATGGATTGAGAGCGGCAGGGGAGATCTCAGGATCTCCCCTGTTGGCTCATGCAGAGCCGGCGCTATTTGAGCGCCGGCTCTGCTCTAAGCCTCCATGGGCCGGTGGGGAGATCAAAGATCTACCTCACCGGCCGTGTTCCTCTTGCGAGAGCTGAGTGTTGCCACGGCAAGTCTCAGATCTCGCGAGAGTGAACTCAATCCCCACAGGCTAGAGTTCACTCTCCTCTGGACCACCAGGGATGGTACATAGCAGCAAGAATCTCCCCTCCCTACATAAGGTAAGAAGGGAGGGGGGATATTTACTAATCTGCCCCCACCTCCACCCCCACAATCCTTCCAAATATACAGCACACACACATACAGCACCCTCACACAAACAGCACCCATACACACACAGCACCCACACACATACAGTACACAAACAGCACCTATACACACACAGCACCCTCACACACAGTACACTAACAGCACCCTCACAAACACACAGACAGCACCCTTACAAACACACAGCACCCTCACACACAGCACACTAACAGCACCCTCACATACACACACACAACACCCTTACACACACAGCACACAAACAGCACCTTCACACACAGCACTAACAGCACCCTCACAAACACACAACACCCATACACATCACACAAACAGCACCCTCACACACACAGCATCCTCACACAGCACACTAACAGGACCCTAACAAACACACACACACACAAACACCCTCACACACACAGAGCACCCTCACACACATCACACAAACGGCACCCTCACACATACAGCATCCTCACACAGCACACTAACAGGACCCTAACAAACACACACACACAAACACCCTCTCTCACACACACACAGCACCCTTACACACACATCACACTAACAGCACCCTCACACACAGCACCCTTACATACACAGCACCCTCACAAGACCCTCACACAGCACACTCACAGCACACACACACAGCAGTGTATGTATGTGTGTGTGTGTATATATATATATATATATATATATATATACATACATATACACGCGGTGTGTGTTTGTGCTTTAGGGTGTACACCCTAATGCAATAGGCTGCGCACTCCTATGCTCTCACCTAATGCAATGCCATAGGAAAGCATTGGGAGGCTATTGCGCATGCCTAGCAAAATGCTGCGCTACAGCAATCAGCATTTCCTACTAGAGACACTTTAAATCACTGGGGAATGTGCAGCGCCTCGATGCAGAGTGTGGAGACATTTAACGCCAGTGCTGTACACTGTGAGGTGTTACTAGGCAGCCATGTTAACACAGCCTTTTCTGAAATGGCAACGTTTACAGTGCTCAGTGTGCAGTGACAGGCTATAGACACCAGAACCACTACAATAAGCTGTAGTTGTTCTAGTGACTATAGTGTCCCTTTAAAGTTATGCAATTGTAAAGGCTTATCCAGGTATCACAGTTTTTGCTTTCTGTTTACATTGTATAACTACCTGTTTGACACGTAACTTATCTGATATATTCTACTGAACTTTCAAAGCCATTTGAACTGTGCCCTCAGAGTTCAGGAAGTTTTTCTTTACCATGTGAATTAGTACGTTAGCCCTGCCTTTTTATCTTCTTTGGTTGTTACAAGCGTCCTTTGAATTGTTAATACTGGATTTCCTTGTTGACATAGATATGCACCAACAGGTTCAATAACTGTTTGTTACACCTGCATTTTCAGTTTCTCACTGTTGAGTTAATCTATAAGACTTTTTTATTGCTCTTTGTATAGCGTATTATCACTGGTAATCTGTACGTTACTAAAGTAAAAACATTAGCCTTGATTTCACATTTTTTTAATATTTTTTTTAAATTTATTTTTAATGATCACAATCTGTTACCAAAAACTTTCTAAACGGTTTATCTACATACGTCACCGTTTAAGTCTATGGGAATTTTTGTAGATAATTTAAACGTTTTTCTAGCCGACTGATCAATTGAAAAGCTCATCCGAAAATATAAAATCAAGCCAATTGTTTGAAGGACTTTTCCAGTAGGCACAGTGTTAAAAGGAAGTACATTTTCGTTTTACTTTCATTATTTTGCAACGGCTTACTCTGTTTTACAACGTGATGTATTAAGTTTTTCAGACATTCACTAAGCAGTGCAGACAAATAATATGCAGATATACAAATATGGATATTTTTTTAAAAATATTTTTCTCTGCATATTCGACTTGATTAAAGATCAAAAGGTGAACTTGATTTAGCACCCACAGGATAGCTTACAGTTTTTTCCAGTCACTTTACATGAATCTTACACCTTGTCTCTCCTATGCTATTGGTTCTACTTAGGAATACTATTCCTATAATCCTCTACTAAAGCGTGCAACACGCTTGCCAGAGAAACAATCATAGCAACTACAGTATATGTGGGTGTGTTCCTGTCACTCAGATGTCAATAGATGTCATATAAATATATACATTGGATAGCATAATGGGTAGATAAACTTTTAAGATGCTGCCCCCTGACATCTATAACTCAAATATGCAAATAGCATATTTTTTATGAATTAAACTTTTTTCTGGTTTGAAAAAACATGAAGAAGTAAAGACTAGGGGAATGAGAGTCCTGTGAGACATGAAATTAACAATCTAAAATTGTGGGTACATTGTATAGATTTATTTAGTTATTGACTTAGTGTTTCTTTTTAAAGGAACACTCCAAGTGCCCTAGCCTCCTCCCAGAGTACGTAAGGAAAGTGTATAAAATGATGTAATGTAGTTGTTCTGGTGTCTACTGCCTGTTCCTGTTGGCATTTAAATGTAAACACTGCCTTTTCAGAAAAAATACTGCCTAGGGAAACCTTCAGTGGCAGTCACTCAGATGGCCACTTGAGGTGCTTCCTGCATCAGTGCTGCACATTTTGCAACACTAACTTTCAGAATGTTCCTCACAGAGATGCATTGTTGAAAGCATTGGTTTGGCTGAGATCGTCTGTTCTGATGATCTCAGTCATGGAGGCAGGGTGGGGGAGGGGCTAGCACAGGTGGACCCATGCACCACTGGAAAAAAGATAAGTTTTAGACTTATTTACGGAGGGCAAGGGGAGACTTTGTAACTAAAATGGTTGTTTAACTCTATAGGTCAGTAATACATGTTTGTATTCCTGACCCTATAGTGTTTCTTTGAGAATGGTTAGACAACTTACTTGGGTCACACTGGTTGCTTGTCACTGCCTCCCTTCTACCAAAAGCTCCTGCCAGGAACCTCCATTTAGATTATCTGAGCCCGACTATTTGTGGGCTGCACTCATTGGCTAAGTGCACGGCCATTCTTAGTTCAATCTTCATTTCTCCCCATAAAAATAAAAAAAGCTAGAATCAAAATCCTTAAAGATGCATTCTCAGTACCATAACCACTAAAGAAAGGGCCTCACCTCACGGAGATAACAAAACTATAGTTACCCTGCTTCATTACATTACCCACACCCATTACCCATTGTTATTGGTTGTGGGAATAGAACCCAAGCAATAGTGAACATTTCCCCTTGTTAATAGGGTCCATCACATCTCCTGCATTAGTAACAAATCCTCTTGAATAATTAACCCTTTAACCTAGGTACCATAGTGTAAGCCTGGTGTGCCCAAAAGGTAGATCCCAGATGCTGTAGAACTACAACTCCCATGATGCTTTGCATGCATTTAGAATGACAAAACATCATGGGAACTGTAGTTTTAAGACATCTGGGATCTGCCTTGTGGGCACCTCAGGTGTAAGCAAACTGATTCCCACACCTTTCCAGTTAACAGAGGTCCTGTGAACCCTGGTTATTTGTGTATCAATATATCTCCCTACAACCACCAGGCTGGTTATATTTTAATGGCTAGTTCAGAGTCTGGAAAGACAATGTTTTGGTTCAGGTGATTAAAAATGATTACATTTAAAGGATCACTATAGTGTCAGGAAAACAAACTAGTTTTCCTGACACAATAACATCCTTGGGACCCCCCCCTCCCCCCCCCTCAGGGTCCACCTCCCTTGGCGCTGAAGGGTTTAAAACCTTAATCCAGCGCCAGGCTTCCTTGGCGCTGGTGATCTCTCCTCCACCTCCGACGTCGGCTCCCGAGTGGAGCAGAATGCACATGCGCATTCAAACAGTCCATAGTAAAGCATTTCTCAGTGCTTCTCTGTGGACGTTCTGCACACTGGGTGCGAATTTCGCATCCAGTGTCGCAAATGCGCCTCTAGCGGCTGTCAGGAAGACAGCCACTAGAGGCTGAATTAACCCTGCAATGTACACATAGCAGTTTCTCTGAAACTGCTATGTTTACATCTGAAGGGTTAAAACCTGGGGTACTGGCACCCAGACCACTTAATTGAGCTGAAGTGGTCTGGGTGACTATAGAGTCCCTTTAAAAACAAAATTATAGTTTTGTCAATGTCACTCAAATTTGAGTCTCCAACTTGCCCTAAATGATGACCTATTGGCAGGTTTATTAATTAAAATGTGATTAGTCAGGAAGTCAGCTATTTATTTATTTATAAAATATTTTACCAGGAAAGATACATTGAGATTTCCCTTGTTTTCAAGTATGTCCTGGGTCCACAAATCATTGCATTGTTACAATTAGGGTAAAGTAAAATACAAAAACAATATTAATACACAATATATACAATATTTAACATAGAGCAGGCAGGAAATATATAATCAAGTATGTCACAATGGTGAGTCCTGTAATTACATTGTAGCACAAATCGGCAGAACGAGTTATACAATGTGTTGAGTTTATTAATGTGGGATTGCGGTGCAGATGCATATACTACATCCCCATAATCAATGATTGGCATCAGTATTTGCAGTACAATCTTTTCCTTTACTGTAGGGTTTAGGCAGGATTTGTTTCTGTACAGGGCATCTAGTTTTGGATAAAGTTAAGATGCAAGTTTTTCTATGTGGAGGCCAAAAGATAGATTGGGGTCTAACATCATATCCAAGTATTTGAAAGAGTGGACTGTGGTCAGTGTGCCATTTGAATTTGTTTTGATGGATAGGTGGGAATTGTGTAATTTGTGTAATTTAGGTACTGTTCCAAAGATCATTGTGACAGTTTTGTCAGTGTTTAGGAAGAGTTTGTTTTTTGCGATCCACTTTTCTACCTTTCTACCTTTGTAAACTGGTCTTGGAGCACAGCCTCAAGCTGTGGTAGATCGGAATTGCTCGCATAGATTACCGTGTCATCTGCGTACATGTGTACATTTGAGGATTTGCAGACATTAGGCAGATCATTTATAAATAATGTAAATAGTAGGGGGCCGAGAATGAAACCTTGGGGAACACCAGGGAGGGAGTCGCTGTCAGAAATGGACACATATTGCAAGCGATCCGATACATACGATCGAAACCAGTTTAGCGAACGATCACCAATACCTGAGTTTTTGAGTTTGTGCAGTAGAATGTCGTGGTCTACTGTGTCAGAGGCCTTGGCAAAAATCAAGGAAAATAGCTCCAGTTAGGGCTCCTGGTTCCATGCCAGTTTGGATGTCATTGCAAACTTTTAAGAGGGCAGTTGTAGTGGAGTGATTCTGGCGAAAGCCCGATTGATCAGAGGTCAGATAGTTTGATTGTTGGTAATACTAACATAGTTGCGTATGGATGTATCCTGATTTATAATAAATTCACTTTGAATTCACCTTGAATCCCTGACAATCACACTTTATTGGATAATCCCTCTCTATACGGAATTTGATGGCGCTATATAAATAATAAATAATAATAATAATAATAATAATATAGGACTGTGAAGCATTGAAAGTAACAGCTCACTTAATGTTTTATTAAATTAAAGGTAAATTAGCCGAACCAGAAAAAGTCCCCCAAATTCTCTTATGATTGCAATTTGGCTTTATTAATATACAATTAGCAGTTCTCATTCACAAAATAACCAATGACATCAACAAACCCCCTTTGTTTCTAGATATAGTAATCCATCCTATTTGGATAAGGTACAGAGCCCCATTTAACATGACAGATACATACAGTATGTATCTAACACCTGAAACTGTGAAAGCCTGGCTTGTGCCTCATACATGTAGCTGTATGCTGTGCACATGGAATGTGTGTGCAGTCACCTCATATACAGGAATGTGGAATGTTGTTCTTTGTTGTAGTAAATAAATCAAAGGTAAAGTAAATGCATGGTAAAAGTAATATAGGTGCATAGAAAAAAGTAAAAAAACAAACAAAAAAAGCCATAGTTTAAATAAAATGAATGCATGGAGAAAGTGATAATGAAATGAATGTATGTATGATAAAGGTTAAATGAAAGCTCTGTAAATATAAAATGAATGCATTGGTAAATGTCACTGTTAGTCCCATGTGGGTCTGTGTGTTTTTAGCACAACAGAGCCAGTCTCTGTGCTCTCTCCAGCAGTGCAGGGGTTAATTCTCACCTGGCTGCTGGGCAGACCCTGACTCCTCCCTTGCTGTGCTGTGATGGGTTTCCTAGCAGAGCTGTGCAGGGAAGCCTGCGGGCGGTAGGACCCGGTGGTCATCCAGTGAGAGGCAGGGTGGAAGGCACACACACACACACACAGAGAGAGAGAGGCTGGGGAAAGGAAGAGAAGGCAGATCACAGTGTGTGCAGGGGAGGAAGACACCCAGACCCAGCCAGGCTCAGCTGACCCACTGCAAGAAGGATGACCCAGGGCTGATACAGGGGGACCAGATCCAGAATCCAAAGGGCACCTACCTCCCAGGGTGACAGCAGCCAGGACCTCCCATCCCTCCATGCAATCAATGGGCTGAATCTGCAAACAGCAGCAGCAGTACTACAAGCAGCAAGCCCTATCCTTCCTTCCTCCTCCTCCTCCCACCCTCTCCCCCTCTCTGTCTGCTCCCCCCCTCCCTCCTTCTTTCCTCTCCCTTCCCTCTCTTGCTCCCCTCGGTGATGGTTTAGGCTTCAGCTGGCTGCAATCCACCAGTAGGCCCCAAGCCCCGGTGACTGCTCTCCTTCCAGGCTCAGCTCACTTATTACCTCTTGAAATCATGTAAGTCATACCACCCCCACCCAATCCTCTACCCCCCCTCCTGAGGCACACACACCCTGTGTCAGCACCCACACCCTATTCTGGACATGATGGAGGGGGGCCTCCTTCCATAGCACACCTTAATAATCCAAGACACATCTGTCTGGGGTCCCCCTATTGTGCTAAACTTGGCAGGAGGGGGGTGTTTCATTCCCCTCCATCCCAGGAAAGGCCCTCTGCTCTGTTAGTACATTGCAGGGAGAAGCATGCAAACTGCATCTAATGCGCAGGAAATCCATCCTAGCTGCACATGCATGCACACCTCCTGCACACACTGCATGTGCATGGTATGTGGCCATTGCTGCTTTATGGGCAATGCAGGGATTGTATCCAGCCCTGTTGTTTGCTTGAAACATGAGAGAGAGACTGATCCTTTCTAGGGAAGGGCTGGGGCTGGATCCATTCTAAGCTGACCAGAATTGACAGTGTTTGCTTTTTATTTTTTTTTATATATAATTTTGCCTTCTTGCATTGGTACACCTGGACAGATGCTCTATATTCTATCCAGCTGGTATTCTCCTCCTTTCAGTGATACAATGTATCCTGTGTGATTGGTGTGTGTGACTGAATTATTTTATTACTGCTGCATTCTTCATGTGTAGGATACAATGTAGCTTGTTTGTGTTTTTTTTTTTTTTCCTTCAAGGGACTATAAATGGGATTTTAATTTAAATATTAGTCCATTATTTCAGTGATTAAAATGTTATTACATCAGATTTTTTTTTTTCTTTCTCCACTATAGCCCTCCCTCCCCTTTATAAAAAAAAAAAAAAGAAATGCCCACTTCCTGCGCACATACTGTAATGTGGCTGCTTTGGCTCAGTATGACAGAGCCCTGTCCTGGTTTGTGCATCTAGGATGCCAGCTGCAGGCAGACAGACCACCTGGTACCCAGGCTTCTAGGAATGCAGAAGAATCAAAAAACACTGTTTACTTGGAAAAAAGAATGTTCCATTAACAGGAGAGGGAAAGTGTGTGTGCTTCATATTTGGCATGTTCCCATGGCAACCCTGCACTGCATTTAACTCACAGGCTGCCTGTGGATATTGCATAATTATTCTGTCTCCTTGTGTGTGTGTGTGTGTGTGTATATATAGTTTATACATTGATAAGTGATGTTAGACTGGCAACTCACAGACTACTTTTAGTCAAAGATACATGCATAATTTTTATTCATGTTTCTTTTCATAAAGTTGTTAAAATAAATAAGATTATATTGTTTACAGGAGCTGTTACTAGCAATTCTTTAATTACTATAGTTAATGGATGAAAGTAATTAAATCTAAATTTAGACCCCCTGCACCTCCAAAAAAATAACTAAATAACACTCAATAAATATATATATATATATATATTTGTTGTTGTAAAGTTTTACATAATACTTTTCCAAAATATAAAGTAATTGAATTTTGTTTCCATTTAACAAACTTAGGGGAACCCAGCATTTCACACTGGGGTGGTGGCTTTCCTACTTCAACATCCCAATCTTAATTCTTTAATAATATTACATTTGAATGTTGACCTATTTTGCTTTGACACTTTTTGCATGAGGAGCGTGTTTTTTCATTGTTTTTTTTTCTCTCTCTTGAAAAAAAAAAGAACCTTATAATTGTCTTATTTTCTTTTAATTTTTTTTTCTAAACAACTAATGGCTTCTCAAGATCACATTTTTTAAGTGATGTCTTTTTAAACGTTGTTTTTTTTTAAATTTTTTTTTCTTCTTTGGATCCCCAGGGCTAAAAAATGAGAGTAGTCAAGTGAGGAGTGACTAATCCTTCAAGTATTTACTTGGTCAGAATAATAATAGAAATGAGCACTCTCTGATTTTGTATTGACTTAATAGCTGTAAGATTCATAATGTTTCATTCATAATGTAACAATATGATGCATAATTGCAGGTGTTCCAACTGTCATACATGTTCTATGTAGCATATTTAATATGCAACTGCTTAAAACTATATTCTGGATCTAAAGGATAGTTTTTATCTTTAAGAATGACTTTTTGAGCCCCATATATATTTGTGTTTTCCCATGATATATGCTTCGTGGTTCTCTAGCATTATGGGATATGTAGTCCACTACAGCTGGAGTGCCAAAGGTTACCTACCCCGTGAAATTATGATCGTGTAGACCAGGGGTGCTCAAAAGGTAGATCCCGAGATGTTTTAAAACTACAGCTTCCATGAAAGGCATTCTAAAGGAAAAGCATCATGGGAGTTGTAGTTCTACGAAATCTGCGGATCTCCCTTTTTGGGCACCCCTGGTATAGACAATTCATGATTGATGATGCTGTAAGGATAACCCAAAGTGAAGTAGGCCAGTGGAGACTTCAGATTCTGAGAACAGATTTAAAGGACCACTCTAGGCACCCAGACCACTTCAGCTCAATGAAGTGGTCTGGGTGCCAGGTCCATCTAGGATTAACCCTGCCTGCTGTAAACATAGCAGTTTCAGAGAAACTGCTATGTTTACTTTAGGATTAATCCAGCCTCTAGTGGCTGTCTCATTGACAGCTGCTAGAGGCGCTTCCACGTTTCTCACTGTGAAAATCACAGTGAGAAGACGCCAGCGTCCATAGGAAAGCATTGAGATTGCTTTCCTATGAGACTGGCTGAATGCACGCGCAGCTCGTGCCGCACATGCGCATTCAGCCGATGACGGGAAAGGAGGAGGAGAGTCCCCAGCGCAGAGGGAGCCTGGCGCTGGAAAAAAGGTAAGGGATTAACCCCTTCCTCACCCTAGAGCCCGGCGGGAGTGGGACTTTGAGGGTGAGGGGGACCCAAGGACCCTCTAGAGCCAGGAAAACGAGTATGTTTTCCTGGCACTATAGTGGTCCTTTAACCACCACTGAAATAAGTTAATTTAAAGGGTAACTATAATCACTGTAATAGCTTCATTTCATTTTGGTTAGTGTGTAGAGGCCCCTGGTGCTGTCCTTTCAGTGTTTTATAAACGTTTTTAAATTGTTTAATGTTAAACAAGAGTATCCAACAGTCCATCCACTCTATGCTGCTTGGGCTAACAAGGAAGCATTAGCCAGAGCATTAGTCGGTGGCTCTGATTGGCCAGGAGTGTCAGCTGACCTCATTCAGCCTATCACAGTGCCAATTGCTGGTATGAATCAGTATGGCTAGAAGGAAGAGTGTAATCTGTCTTAGTCATACATCCAATGGGGACTTGGCTGTGGGTGGCCAGGGATCCTTATTCAAACTGAAAATGTTTTAACACTGAATGAATGGACAATGCCAGGGGACTCCATGCATTATTAGCAAATCAGATGAAATGGTTATAGTGAA